GTTGAGAGATAATTAATTTTCCAAGTGTTTTTTTAAATTTTTTCCATCTATTGAGAGATAACCGAACTTCTAAGTATTTTTTAATAATTTTTCTCCATCTATTGAGACAGGGGTCACCAAACTATGGCCCGTTGGCCAGATCTGGCCTGCAAGGACAGTTCATCCGGCCCACCATTGCACTGTGCTACAAATGAGCTAAAATATAATTATTGAAATATCATAGATTGTAGATAAACTTACTATGTAGAAAAAATTAAAATAAGTGTAAGTAAAAATGTCCAAATTTGTCCAATCTGATTTTTGCATCTGACAGTAATATAAGTTTTAGGAAAATCAGTGAAATAAACAATTCGGCAACTTTTTGTGACTTTGGATATCGGAATGCTTTTTGTGTAAGTACCTGTAATGAGAGTTCATTTCTGCAGTCACCTCTGTTTGCATTGTTGTAATACGATACAATGCTTACAGGCAGTTGATACAAGTAGTGTGATGAGTGTGTGCGTGGTTACACAACTTTGTGATAGAGAAGACATGTGCTCGTATTGTGTGTGTTTCTACATATATTTGTGTGTTGTACATATGTGTTTATATATTTATATTTAAATCTGGAACACTGGTTCAATACACGGATTAAACAGGCGACGTTTTGCGACTTTGGATATCAGAGCACTTTTTGTTTAAGTACCTGCAATGAAGTTTCCAAGAAAAACGATTACGAGCCTGCTGCAGCGATCGTGTTTTAACTTGCATTGCCGTGCTTAAACCGGTTTGAAGAATGCCGTATATAAAAGGGACTGACTTCAGTGAATTATATCATATATTTTGCATATTTGAGTGTTGAAAGAGCTCACAAGTTGTAAGCATCTAATATTTTCAAACTTTGTTATTTATTTAAGGCCTATATTTTAATCGATATACACTACAAAAAACAACTTAATTAAATTAACGAAGATTTTAATTAAAGTAGTATCAAATTCTTAATACTATATTTGCCTATTAAGATTCTTAATATTTTTATTAAATATGATCTTAATTATTTTTTATGAAGCTCTTCTAATTACCTTACATAATAAATTTTAAATACATTTGCAAATTATAAAAATTGCTTAATCAAATAACTTATCGGGAAAAAACTTTTAAACCAATTAAGTAATAACGTAATTTAATGTCGTTAACTATTTACATTTAGTTTGTCATGTTTATATACATGTCAAAAAAATTGTGAAAAATTATTATTTTTCTAAGAAATTTTTGGTAAACTATTCAATGT